CATGTGACTGGCCCATGTGACTCCAAAACTCCATCTTGGAACTGGACTTTGCATAGGAGAGAGGAGGGGGTTTCCACCCTCAAGAGAGTCTATTTAAACCCCGGGGAGACCCCTCCATTTGGTCTTCAGCTGGCTAAAAAGATAGCCTCTCCACCCCCAAGGATACCTGAAAGAAACTGGAACAAAGGACAGTAACTACAGGGGGTGTGAGTAATTGCTGGACCTAGACTAGAAGGAGTCTAGTCTGTAAAAGGAAACTTACTGGAATTCCTCTGAAGGTGAGGTTTTTATTTGTATTCAGTTTTCTTACTGTATTAGACATAGAGTTGCGTGTTCTATTTTATTTTGCTTGGTAATTCACTTTGTTCTGTCTGCTATTACTTGGAACCACTTAAATCCTACTTTCTGTATTTAATATCACTTTTTACTTGTTAATTAACCCAGAGTATATATTAATACTGGGGGGAGGAGGGGGAAACAGCTGTGCATATCTCTCTGTCAGTGTTATAGAAGGCAAACAATTTATGAGTTTATCCTGAATAAGTTTTATACAGGGTAAAATGGATTTATTTGGGGTTTGAACCCCATTGGGAGTTGGGCATTTGAGTGTTAAAGACAGGAACACTTCTTAAGCTGCTTTCAGTTTGAGCCTACAGCTGTTAGGGGACATGGTTCAGACCTGGGTCTGGGTTTGCAGCAGGCTAGCGGGTCTGGCTCAAACCAGGCAGGGCACTGAAGTCCCAAGCTGGGAGGGCAGGGAAAGCAGGGGCAGAAGTAGTCTTGGCAAATCAATTGGCAGCCCCAAGGGGGTTTCTGTGATCCAACCCATCACACCTGCATCAAAGCATGTGCTAATGCCATATCCAGTGCTGAGAAGAGCAAGGAGGGGGGGCTTGTCAAAGGAATATCTCACTCACACTCAAAGGATTCTGTCTCTGGGTCCAGTGCCAAGGAGAGCAGTGAAGGGGGCTCATCTAAGAGTTCTCAGTATCAGGAAATTGGGATTTCTTGCTCTGGGTCCAGGGCCATCACTGGTCTTGCTGTCAATGCTGGCAAAGGTGAGTCTGTCTCCCTTAACCTAGGTGTCACTACTGGAATCTTGGTGCTATCCTTCATTGGTGTTGAGGATTCTGAGACCTGCTTTCTTGGTCCAGAATTCTCTCTGGGGGATGGATGTGTTGCCCATTCTCAGCTGTGTTTGCATTGAATGCAGGCAAGCGTTTTTGCTCCAAAAGACAGTGATGGGTCTCTCTTCCCTGGAGCTGGTGCCGTAGTCGGCACTGAGGCCTTCAGTGCTCAGGTAATGTGCACCCTCTTCATCTTCCTTTCCCTGCTGGTACTGGGGGTGTGGTTCACAGTCAGTGGGACACTCCCCAAAGACAAACTCCTCTGTTCATATACAGGGGATGACTCCATTCCTGGATCTGTGGCTAAACTCATGGATTGCTGCTCTGGTGTAGTTTGAGCCTTGTCTCTTGGGATTTCCTGAATGCTGAAAAGGAGCCGCAGATAGCATGCTTGTCTGGGAGATGTGCTTCTATGAGACAGAACAGGCATTGCTGTGTTAATCTATGATAGGTATTAGTCCATTGCAGGAAGGACGGAGTTGAACCTGGTAGGTTCTGAAACTGCCATAGCTAGCAGTCAGTGCAAAGTGCCTTGCCCTGCTGTACATACAGGGTCTCCCCATGTCTGTCCTGACTGCTGCTTTTTTGAGGGGTAGAGTGTGGGAAGCATGCAACAAAAATCAAACATTCATATAAGGAAGAAATGAAGAAAAATAGTTTTCACTGGAGAAGAATTCTGACAGTCAGAAGCAGGTTAGAGACAGTCTTGGTTCTGTCTTGCTGGCATGGGTGGTAAGAGGGAACTGAGGGAGAGTCAGGGCTGCTTCACCCTTTGTCCTCACAGTGAAGCATGAGGAGGCTCAGGGTGTATGCCCTGCCCTGCTGCACATTGCTATGCAAAGATTCCAAATTCACATGCTTGGGGCACATGCACACCTACAGTGGAATCCACATTGACACATACCCAAAAAAGAAAGTAACCTAGAGCTTTATTTAACACTAGGATATCTAGAAGGCATGCGGTACTGAATCCCACTGGAGGACAGGCCACCCATGATTGGGCTGGTACCAACACAACCTGCCAACTTGGCTTTACTGGCCCTATCAAAGCCTGCTGTCTAATAGACTGTGGCGTGGAACACCTTCACATGTCTGGATTAAAAGAAGGTGGTCTCGGTCGCCACCAGCATTGCTGGTTAGAGCATCCTCACCAGAACAGGAGGGATCCTTTGGGGACATGGCAGAAGCAGCAAGGGAGACACTCCAGCTTCCCTCTGCTCTAAAGGAACCCTCTACAGTCGAAGAAATCATCTTGGCTCCAACACTATCCAATGATGCCTTTAGGGCTTTCCAGGAGTTGTAACAGGATAGCTGGGACATTGGGCATCAAAATGATGGTGATCCAAGAAAACACATACAAGCTATTCAAAATCCCAACCAGTGTCTCCAAGAATCAGCCTTCTGATCGATGAAGGCATCTTTGACCTGGCAAAGGGTCTGTGACATACCCCTTCCTTGCTTTGCCCACCATCAAAGCAGATAGAAAAACAATACCAGGTTCTACCCAAAGGCTTTGAGCACTTCTATCCCCACCTTACATTGTCATTATCTCCACCATCAAGGAGAAAACCAGATCGGAAGGGTCTCCTAAAAGGGGGACTCTTAAAGACAAGGATCCCAAAAAGCTGAACCTTTTCTGCCAAAAGGTATCTCCTTGGTATATCTCCAGTTTCTCATCGCAAACTGTCAGATGGCATTTTAGAAATACAACTTCCTGATGTGGAAGATGGAGACCCCTTTCCTAACTTGGCTGCCACAGGATTGCAGGGCAGATAATCAATGAGGGCCATCAAGGTGCTATAAGTGGCAAATTTGACACAGCCACCAGATGGGTGGCCACAGCAGTCACTATGATCTGGGCCTCCTGGCTCCAGGAATCCAGGATACCAAGGGGTCCAAGCCACAACTCAGGACCTACCCTTTGAGGCCATGGACCTATTTAGTACAAGAGCAGATGGTGTTATATCTCCTCAAAGATTCAAGAGCAACACTCAGATCCCTATGAATATACACCTTGGCACTGTATCGCAAGCCCTTCTGGCACCAGCCACCCCAGAGGCAGAGAATGCCATTGTTCTCTAACAGTCACCATCCCGAATATCTCCCTAGAAAGTGATACATCAGGAAGTTCTGACAGGTTTCAGTTGTGCCCTCTTGCTTGTGCCTCCTGGTGAACTACACCATCCCAGGTGATAAAGTTCCTAGTCATCAGGAAAGACTCCACCATAGCAAGGACTCACCTACTCCAAAACAGATTCCTCACACTCCAGTCATTACTCATTGCAATGATTTTACACCCGATAATAACAGTACAGAACTGCCTTACAATGTTAGGCCATATGTTCACATGTACATAAGTGATGCCACTTGCCAAAATTTGCCTGAGACCACTATGGTTCTGGCTCAGATCAGCATATTCCCTGCAAAGAATCACATAGCTCCATCCCATGTACTCACAACACTGATCTGGCGACTACGTCCCAACAATGTTCAGAAAGGGATGCAGTTTGTGACCCCGTTGGCATCCAGAGATCTTGTCATGGACACATCCATGATGTGAATTGAGATTGAGAATCCCACGTGGAGCAACTGCAGATTCAAAGGGTTTGGTTTTCAGAAGAAACTAAACTACACATAAACATCTAAGATCTCAGGGCCATTAGACTGGCGTAACCCTCAACAGTGCAGATACTGACAGAAAATATATTCTCAGAATATCAATTAGTATGGATCCCTCTTTAGGTGCACATGTCACCCAGGCCTGCAAGTTTGGTCCAATGAGGCCACGGTACCTTTTGCTCCCATGTGGCTGGTACTTCATGCTCCCATGCGAACACAAAGGTTGGAGCAGTCCCAACCCTCCCTCAGTTTCCTCACAACTTGAAGCCGATGTTAACTGAGGACTCCAAAAGCAGAGATGGAGGGCAGGTTTGTGGGATCCACACTGACTGCAACATCTCAAAGAGCCACAGTTACTGTAAGATAAATAATACTCTTTCTTCTTTGAATATGTCAGTGTGGATTCCACTGTAGGTGAGGGCAAGCAGTAACTTTTTCAGAACAGTGCATATGAAGAGTATCAGCTGCATCAGTCCAACAGAGATTGGAGTACAGCTCTCCAAAATTTTGCATCTGATCTGGCAGCCAAGTCCAGTGGGTAATGCTTGAAGACACATGAGTAGCTTGCTCCATGAAGCAACTTTGCAGATCTCAGATATTGGTATGTTGTGGAAGCCTGCTGAGGATGCCACTTGATCACTGGTGGAGTGAGCTCTAATAGTGAGAGAGGTGCATATATTGTGTTATCCATTTTAAGAGTCTCTGGGATGAAAGGGCTTGACCTTTGGACCAGTCAGCTATAACCACAAATAGATGTGGGACCATTCTGAAAGATTTGGTCCTGTCAGAACAACACTGAAGAGCCCTGGACATATCCCAGCTCTGGAGCTTCTTCTCCTCGTGTGGCATGTGGTTTTGGAAAGAACACAGGTAGGTTGATGGATTGATTCAAATGAAATTCTGAAACCACCTTGGTAAATTTGGCTTGAGGTCTCAGTACCACATAGTCTCTGTGAAACACGGTGTATACAGAGGAAAAACAATAAATAAAGTAGTAAGAAAACAAAAGCACAGGAATAACTAAAAATCAATACACATTTAAAGAAAATATGAAAATACATGCATATATTTAATGGCAATTTTATTTTCTACAAAATATTACATTTAAGAACTGTGACCAGCAGTGCTGTGTAGAGAACTTTGTATCTGGCAAAATCAGAAAGTGTACTTACTACGAAAGTTACTTTTGAACTGATTTACTGTAAAGTAGTCTTGTGGGTTTAAAATCAAATCTACCTTCTGCTTTATTTCTAGGTGATAGCTCAACAGGTTTCAAAGAAACATTTAGAGGAGGGTCGTCTCTATCCTCCATTAGTTACTATTCGAGATGTGTCACTGAAAATTGCTGTGAAGGTAAGTGATTTTAGTTCCATCTGCAGCCTCTCTCTACTACCCACACACTTTGTATATGTTACAATTAGATTAGGTGAAGTAAAATATTTTCAGAATTCACTACTCATTTTAAATCAATCTTGATACGAAGCAAGCAGAGTGTATTTTAAAATTTCAAATTCATACAGTTCAGGCATAGGAGTGAAGGAACTGAAAATATTTTATACTCAGTGTTCAATTACAGGTGACTACAGTAGCATGATGTTTCTACTGCTTTCTCTGTTCTCTGGTTAGTTGCATGTTCTGTTCACAGCACCTGATCCATGAAGATTGGAGCCATGAAATCCTATACTGTCAATAGTTTTCTATCCTTTAGTTGCCTTTCAGAAGAATAAATGCCTTCTCACATGCCAGCCTCCTCCTTCTTTTGGCCTACTGCTGCTTGATTTTGTTCCAATCCTCCTTATCTTGACCCATCAGAATAAATAGTGGTTTTTTTGTGAAGTCAAATATGTTTTTCATGCATGGATTTTGCCAAATTGACTCCACTATGTCGGTAGCTTATAAAGTGCCCAAAGTAATTTGATAACCCATAGATTTGGAAGCACTGAAAAATAACAGACTTAGCCCCAGTTCTACTTTCCCTGTGGCTTTTTGTCTCCCACGAGTTCTCAGTTTTATTTCTGAGTGGGTTATCATGCTATAGATAATCCCATTTACTGAACAACCTTTTGGAAGAGCAATGTTGTCAATAGCTCCCTGTCTGTGGAATGGTTCCCTTTGATTCATTTGGAAACAGGATCCCAGGTACATATAAAAAGCCTTGTTGTAGTTGAGTTCTTTTCAGGCTGATAATAGCTGTTTTCCATAGATGTCAAAACATCTCAAAGCAGACTTCTCAGGCTAAAATCAGACTGCCTTTGTGCTTAGCAAATCCTTTCAAAAAGTGATGGAAACTCTCCTCCTCTATTCACTGTGACAGAATTAATCTTTTTAACTTAGGTGCAAAATTTAATGGAAAAAAATTGAAAATGTGTAATTTGATAAATTCATTTCTGGTCTGATCTCTCTCCTAGTTGGAGCTATGCTCTAGGAATTATTTTGGGGAAGTTCTATGGCTTGTGTTATACAGGAAACCAGACTAGGTGATCACTGTGGTCCCTTCTGGCCTTCAAATCTATGAACGCTTGGGCTGTGCCTATTTTCCAGCAAATAGTGGAAGCAGTTCAGGGTTGTAGGCAGGGCTTGGCCACATCTTTCTGCCTTTTAAGCTAGATGAACATTTCCAAAGATATATTGAAATACTGAATTTCTATTAGGAGAGACATTTAAACTTTAACAGTAATGACTTATTCAGTGGTGATAATTGTATGCATGGACCCAAAGAGGATCTCTTGTGGAAATGCCCAAAGAACTTCAGAGGGGGCAGGTTGGGGTCAAGGTCAATCCCTGAAAGCAAATCACAAGGTAACAGCTGTCCCATTTGGGATCATAGCCTCTCCCCAAGCCTAAGACATCTGTGATATAGAGAGGCAGCAATAAGGAGGAGAAAGATGGTTCGCCCTTCCCTAGAAATAGGAGGTTTAATCTGTTTGGGGAGTAAAGAATGCTGCATGTTGGGGGTGGGAGGAAGAGAGAGAGCACATGTGCACAGACACAGATTTTCTCAGCCAGCTGATGCCCTTTCTGTTCAAGAGGCCACTGTGGAAAATGAGTGGGTTCAGATTTCTTCTGAATTCAGTTTTTCTGTAGCCATGTATGCTTTGGTTATGCCATGTTTTGTTTTCATTTAAGATTTCCCAGGAATGTAATGAGGCTTATAACAAAAATTGAAGAATCGGTGAAAATTGGTGGGGGGAAAAGCTTCAGTTTTCTGGGTTAATATTGGGGGATGGGAGGACAGAAAAGCAGCAACAAATAGAGAAAGGTAAGATTATTCTGACCCAGCTCCCTCCTCTGGAAGGAGAGATGGCAGCTTGGTAATCTGGGTAGCCTGGGTTACTAAGACAGAGTGGGCTGGAAGTGGAGAACATAAGGGTGCCATCTTCTAAGGCTCCCTCCTCTAGCTCTTCTGCTTCCAGGCCTGCTCCAGAAGGAGAGATGGTGGCTCTGGTACCTAGGCCATCCAGGTTACTGAGCCACCATCTCTCCTCCTGGGAGCAGAGAATTGGGTCTGGAAATTTCAGCAAATTTTGCTGGGTTTTTTTAGGACTCAAGTACTGATATACCCATGGATGTGTAGGTGTATCTTCCACTATGTTGTCTGTCTTTAAGTGGCTCACATTTACACTTTGACTAATTGATTAATAATAAACATTTCTACTCAATGTAGTATATTAGATTTTCTTAACATAATCAGTATTTTCATGTATGCGAGTGGTCCAAAATTCAGGTGAAAATTGGTAAAAAAATACAAATAACTTTTGTCCAACCTGGGAATCTTTTGGTAAAAACAGCAGACACCAAAAACAAAAGGCCTTAGTAATACAGCACTTGATTCAACTATCTATGGAGAAGTTAGAAGCTTTTAATCAGCACTTAATCAGGTGCTTTTCCCAATCATCACTAAAACAAAGCCCACACACTGGTGTAGGATCAAAACTCACCATTTCTTGGAGATTTAGCTTTACTAAGAAAGATATTGTCAATTATGGCAAACCTTAACAGCTCTGGTCACATCTAGTGGCTGTTGAGCTTTTAAGCAAAATGAAGCAAGAAATATTTCATCTGAAAAGGAAGAGTTAACCTTGGCAAAAGATGATCAAAGTACAAAGAAAGAATTACCTTCTTCGTGTAGAAAAGGCTTGTATCTTCTTAAAAGCAGAGATTTCACTTCTTTCTTCCTTGTGTGAAGGGGGGGACTATTTTGCCCACTGCCGCCATAAAAGCTAGGATGTTACTGGATAAAAGGGAGCAATCCATTTGCACCACCAGAGATAAACTTACAAGAGATACTGGGGGAATTCTGCACCAAAAAATCCAAAATTCTGCATATTTTGTCAAAATAATGCAATATAATCACACAAGTTTCACTTATTTTGGTAATTTATTTAAACTACCATACAGGAAAAAAAGAATCACAATAACTGTTCAGAATTTCCTAAACACATGAAAGTTACAAATAGTTGGTAACCAATACCTTGCATTCCAGTTATAATCCAGGATTTTCATTTAAAATTACCTCACTTTTATTTTGGTGTTTAAAGTGACATTCTACTTTACAGAACACCAAATTGCTCAGACTTTCACACATGAAAGTCATACAGTTTTGCCAATCATTGTCCTGCAATTTTTTAAATGGTTAAGTACAATCGATCCCGAGCTGTAATCTAACCCCGTTGTGCCTCTCTGGCACAGGAAAAAAAGTGAGAAAAAAGAAAGAAAACAAACAAATTTAGTCTCTAAGGTGCCACAAGTATTCCTTTTCTTTTTGCGGATACAGACTAACATGGCTACTACTCTGAAACCAGACCTTCCTAGCTGAGGATTCAGTTACTGTCATTTACAATAAGGCTCCTTTACACCACTCTAAAACAACGAGGAGTCCGGTGGCACCTTAAAGACTAACATATTTATTTGGGTATAAGCTTTTGTGGGTAAAAAAGCCACTTCTTCAGATGCATGGAAGATGCCTCTGAAGAATTCCATGCATCTTAAGAAGTGGGTTTTTTTACCCTCGAAAGCTTATACCCAGATAAATCTGTTAGTCTTTAAGGTGCCACCGGACTCCTCCTTGTTTTTGTGGATACAGACTAACATGGCTACCCCTCTGATACTTTACACCACTCTGGCAAAGTAAAGGAGCCTTAATTGACTAAGAATGGAAACAATTAACTAACAATGGGAACAGAAGCAGCCTGCCTGCTTAGTTACATTTCTGCTCTGCCTCAGGGACAGAGCTTACTTCACACAGCCCTATTCCTTCAAGCCCGGAATGCAGCAAGAGGGACAGAGTGAATCTCTCTCACTCCTTCACACACAGGCATGCGCCCAGCCCTACCCACTTAACATGTCTCCATGGATGCACGCATGCCCAGCCTCCCGCCTCCCTCCCACCGTGATCTGCTCTCTGCTGCCAGCTGCTCCCAGCAGATGCACCCAGGCTGCTGGGAAAGGGGGGGGGTGTTCCCCACAGATTTCTTTGCTCCCCCATTTTTCTGCAGGGAAGCCAAGAAATCTGCAGAAGGTATCAATTCTGCGCCCCTGCGGAGGCACAGAATTCCCCCAGGAGTAAAGAGAGTGAGAAGGCCACAGATGCACCAACATAGCTTTTCAGAAAATTTTGCACAACCTTTGTTAATCCCTTCCTCATAATATATTGGGCCTGATCCACAACTGATGTAAATTCATCTAAATCTGTTTTACACCAGCAGAAGATCTAGTATCTTATGTTAAATGTTGAGCTATCATCATTTCTACTTCTACTTTTGGAACAGCACTGCAATAAACTTAACAGGTTGTAATTGTCAACTTGGTTGTGTTCTTCCAGATTGCAGAACAAGCCTACAGCAATAAGACAGCATCTTTCTATCCTGAGCCTGAAGACAAGGAAGCATTCATCCGCTCACATGTTTATAGCACTGATTATGACAACTTTGTGGTGGACTCTTACGTCTGGCCCAAGGAAGCCATGAAAATACAGACTGGAAATCTTTAATAGAAAATGAACAAGGTAGCAGTAGTTGAAAGAATTCAGATACTTATTACTTTTTTGTCTGTTAAATCTAAAAATTGTTAGTTTTTTTTTAAATCTTTAATAGAAAATGAACAAGGTAGCAATAGTTGGGTTCAAATATTTAGTAGTTTTCTGTTAAATCTAAAAATTGTTTTTTTTATATGCTGAAAACTTTTACAGTAAGACTAATTTTTTCTTTAAAACTTTGTACTTTTATTTCAAATTAATTGATTAAGCTGCTAAAATAACTACACAAGAATAAAAATCAATTTGGGCAATGGACTTTTGGCAATTGTTTCCCTTTTTTCCTTTGATTTTCAGCTGGAATATTACAGAACATATTTATTATGGAGAATCACATCTCTATACATTTCTGACGTATTACAATACATTGTAATAGAGGACTAAATCCTGCTCTCACTGATGCCACTAACTTCAGTGAAATCAGGATTATGTCCAAACTGACAAACAGTATGGCAGAGACTAAATAACCTAAGAATGCACAATCTGTTTAATTAAGGAAAGGCACCGTACAATTTGCATGTAAAATGGTTATTTAGTCTCTGCCATACTGGTTGTCAGTTTGGACATAATCCTGATTATTATCTTTAAATAAAAATAATGAAAGCATTTTTGTTTTAAAACATGGTAAATATAGAATATTTTTCCCTAGGAAAAACTGTATGCACATTTGCAATCAAGCAGGTGCAATGGCAGCTGTCAAGAGAGAGTTTTCTAATGAGAGAAGCTAATGAATATCCCTTCAAAGCCTACATATATCTCCCTCTAGTGATTGAGTGGTTTTTTTTACTAATATATATTAGCTATGTTAATCTTCAGTATTCATTTCACTAAAATGGAAGTGTCCATAGCACATGTTAAATATATAACCATGTCTTCCAAAACATTACATAGTTATGTGATTTATTTACCTGTTCATTTCTGTTAAATTATGTATTTGGTTTAGTTTTACATTTTTTATATCTTTTAAACTTGTAAGACTTCATCCCCCCCATGTGAAATAACAGCTACTCTGATATTTGGTACACTTCAGTAGTGTGGTTCTCTGACTTGAGGCTCATGAAAATCCTGTGTACTGTATATTCTGGGCATAAAGAGCCTATTAAAGGGTTGTGAATAGGACTCTTTATACCTAAATATTTTGTAGACAGCCATACTGACATTAGCAATCTGCTGAGCAGGCCAGCTGTGCATCTCTGTATTAAACCCTTATGTGTGCACGCTCTTTATATACAACTTATAAATCTTTGAATATTTCAGTCTGTTAAAACACAGACTACCAAAGCAAAAGTTCAGTCTTTATAACCAGTTTCCAGACTATCCAAATAGTTTATCTAAGGAAAAGAAAGCTCTCCAACCCTTTAGAGAGCAAGCACATTTTATTGTTTGACATTCATTGAATACATATTACCCTTTTGCACCTGGCTGTGATGTTCAGTAAATTGTTCGTTTTGATTTCTTTGGCATTGTTCCTAATAAATGCTCAAATAAATTGGTTAGTCTCTAAGGTGCCTTTTCTTTTTATTGTTCCTACAGTAATCCTTAAAATCTCAATGCTGAATTTCAGTAATTTTCCCCGACATATCATTTCATATGAAACTGCTGTGTTCATATCTCATTCTGTACTCTTTATTTATAAGCTCTCAAACAATTATGAAAATTCTTACCTGGCAATGGCATTTATCCTTGTGTAGACGGGGTTATCGTTGTACACTTGCACTTAATCATGTTGAGACATCAGTCATCACCTGCATTGTTCTGGATTCATTATTGGTCTAGAAATGGCATTTATCAATCAACGATTTCCCCTATACTGGATTAATATGTCCGTCTAGACCATACACGTTATCTTTTCTTAAAGAAAATAAAACTACTTGAAAATATTTTTTTAAAACTATCTTGAATACTAAAGTGGCTCTATCCCTCTCCCATTTAGATTTTTTGACCATCCCCATCAATTTTCCTACTTTCACTTCCCCTATTATGAACCTTTTTGTTGATTTCCAGTGGTTGAAACTTATTTTAAAGCCTTTCTATACTGTTCCTTTAAAAAAGTACACCACTCACAATATCCTAGGATTAGTAATTACCAACGGTCTTATCAGTGATTTAGGTTTTGTATATAATGTGCATCAGCATGTACTTTGACATTTCACTAGATGGCCCGAAGTAAACTGTTGTCGAATTATCCCCCCAACAGAAATGTAAAAGACTTCTAGGGTAGTTTGGATAAAATAGAGAGTCTCTCTGCACAGAACCAGAAAAAGGAATTATATTGGTTCAGATGCTCAGGTATGGCCAAGGTGCACTTGACGTAACTATGGAAGGATTGCAAAACTCGCTGTAAATCACTTGTGTCCCCAGATCCTGAGCTGTTTAGTGCCAGGCTGGACCCCTTGATGCTGAGGGCAGTTTAGCAGCCCAAGGAGCCAGTCCAGCAGAAAGGGTCTGGATACAGATACCTCAGCCGTTCTTTCATGGCTAAACCCTGACTGTGCTGACAGGCAAGAAGTGGGATGAATCATGACAGCATTGCGACCTGCCTGAAGCTCTCCCGGCATTGAAGAGAAACGCTGAAGGCTGTATTTGCTGGCTTTATGTTTAGGCTGTTTTGTGCCACTAGAACAGCCCCAATATATCAGATTACAACAGTTTTTTTCCATTCATTATATACTATGAGATCCTGTCAGTATTTTTTTTTTTATTTTATCATGTCTTTCACGGTATTGACTGCAACCACACAAAAAATAGTAACATTTCTAATTAAGCAAAGACACTTCTTAATCACCCTTACTGAAAGACTGAAATATTGCTATACATTATTTCAATTTAGTTGCTATTTTGAAAAAATAGCAAAATATTCATTTCAAACATGGTCATGTGTATTTTACTTCAGATAGGTCAGACCCAGTTAAAGTAGACATTGGTTAATAATTGTCTGGTGTGCTACATGCTCCCAAAAGACAGTGTTTCACGTATATGCAATTCACCTAGAACTGATACCATCACTGAGTGGTCTGATTCAATTCGACTAAGTTAATTTTTACAGCTCAATGGCACATCTGATTCCTATGCTGTTGCTTGGAAAAACGAAGCAGCAAAGACAGTGCCTCAGTGGTTCCTGACACACAGACACTTGTATTGTTCAGAAGCATTCTTCTAGTTCAATACACAGTAGGTCAATGGCATGACATTTACTGTGATACTCCACCATCAATGGGAATGCACAAAGAAATCAAATTTCTGAGATTTATCTTATTTAAATGTATTGCATTACACACATACTGCTTCAGGTGAAAGACTGCCATCTAGTGGCACCTTAGAGACTAACTAATTTATTAGAGCATAAGCTTTCGTGGGCTACAGCCCACTTCATCGGATACATAGAAGTGAACGTGTATATATATATATGTTCACACATACAGATAAGTTGGAAGTTACCATACAAACTGTGAGAGGGTAATTCGTTAAGATGCGCTATTATCAGCAGGAGAAAAAAAACTTTTGTAGTGATAATCAAGATGGCCCATTTAGACAGTTGACAAGAAGGTATGAGGATACTTAAGAAAATAGATTCAATATGTGTAATGACCTCACAGTCTGTATGGTAACTTCCAACTTATCTGTGTATATATATATTGTGACAAAGCTCTGTCCTTCCCTCCGGGGGTCCCGCGTTTCCTGGCAGATTTTGCTAGCCTCAGGGGCTCACTCTGACCCTCCACGTAACCCTTCTCTCTCTAGAGACAAGGGTAACAAGTCTCTCTAGAGACAAGTCTACTGAGCCATCTTCATCATAAGCCAGCAAGGGAGGTGAGGAGAAGTTATCCTTCTTTGCACAGTCTCTGTTGTCTCCCAGTCTCAGTGATTAATCAGGGACCAAAGATGGGGCAGGGGGCAGCCCAGGCCCACCCTCTACTTCGGGCTCCAGCCCAGGGACCCTAATAGTATCAGCTATGATAGCTGACCTTTTAGAAACATGACATGTACAATTCCCTGGCCTACTTCCCCCCACAGCAGCCCTCACTTCCTCAAGCTCCACTTCACCCTTACCTCAGGGCCTCCTTCCTTGTGCCTGATATGGTGTGTACTACTCAGCCTCTCCAACAACACAACTTCCTCCCCCAGCTCCTGACATGCACATCCACCTGACTGACTGGGAGGCTTTTAACTAGTTTCAGCCAGCCCCTGATTGGCTTCAGGTGTCCCAAACAACCTAGCATTCTCCCTGCCTTCTGGAAAGTTCTTAATTGACCTGGAGCAGCTGCCATTTCACTTACCCTGGTACCAGGGATTTGTTTAGCCTGGAGCTAATATATCTAGCTCCCACTACTTTTCTATAGCCATCTGGCCTTGCCCCATCACAATATATTATATATATATATATAATATTACTGTATGTTCCATTCTATGCATCCGATGAAGTGGGTTGTAGCCCACGAAAGCTCATGCTCTAATAAATTTGTTAGTCTCTAAGGTGCCACAAGTCCTCCTTTTCGCGGATACAGACTAACAGGGCTGCTACTCTGAAACCTGCCATCTAGTGAATCACTAACACCACTTCCTGCAACGGTGTGTGTCATCTGACAAATCTACTATAGCCAGGTACTGCCTTGGTTTGTGAGACAGACAGAATGACAGATCAGAGGGGTATGGAATGCAGAGGAGAACTGATAAAGAATACAGTAGCCATGTATGTATTAAATAGATAAAGAAAAAAGGCAAATCCAAGCCCCATGCATTATTTTTTTACAGTACCCAAAAGAATGCAAGGCATCTCACAGTACAGATACAAATCTCAGGTTTCAGAGTAGCAGCCGTGTTAGTCTGTATCCGTAAAAAGAAAAGGAGTACTTGTGGCACCTTCGAGACTAACAAATTTATTAGAACAGAAGCTTTCATGAGCTACAGCTCACTTCATCGGATGCATTCAGTGGAAAATATAGTGGGGAGATTTTTATATACACAGAGACCATGAAACAATGGGTGTTACCATACACACTGTAACAAGAGTGATCAGAAAAGGTGAGCTATTACCAGCACTGCATGCATCCGATGAAGTGAGCTGTAGCTCACGAAAGCTTATGCTCAAATAAATTTGTTAGTCTCTAAGGTGCTACAAGTACTCCTTTTCTTTTTACCAGCAGGGGAGCGGGGGGGGGAGGGGAGGGGGGGGAGGAGAAACCTTTTGTAGTGATAATCAAGGTGGGCCATTTCTAGCACTTTACAAGAACAGGAGAAGAAATAAACAAGGGGAAATAGTTTTACTTTGTAATGACACATCCACTCCCAGTCTTTATTCAAGCCTAAATTAATTGTATCCAGTTTGCAGATTAATTCCCATTCAGCAGTCTCTCGTTGAAGTCTGTTTTTGAAGTTTTTTGTTGAAGAATTGCCACTTTTAGGTCTGTAATCGAGTGACCAAAGAGACTGAAGTGTTCTCCGACTGGTTTTTGAATCTCACAATCCTTGGCCAGAACAGCTAAAAGCTAATATAACTGGGAAATAACAAGACAGGAGATGGAAAGGAAAGGATAGACAAATTGATAACACAATAAAATTACACGGTTTTTGAGCAAAGGCTAGGCCATAAAAGAATAAATGGGTGGTATTTTTTTCAAAATTTTGTTTTAGTAAGAAATAAAATGTTAGTTGGCTCATTTCTTATGCACTTTAAAAATGGTTTTAAACAGTACAGAGCAGGCCAGGGTGCTGCACAGACTAAAGCATGGAGCAGAGTAGTCTATTTTTGTTGTTAATGCAAAATAATTGGACTGTGCAGCCCCTTCAACCCTCCTCTTCCCCACCCAAGCCCATACAAAAAAGTTGCTACAGGCCTAGACCTGAAGAAACTACCAAGTGTCATGTGGGTGAGGCGCCAGACAGACTACATAATTCTGAGTACTATAGTGTGAGATTGTGCAATTCGCAACCACTGCCTTGCAGGCTGCCTCATGGACCAAGAGGTGATAAATGCATGGTATGCATGTATGGTATCAGATGTAGATTTAACAGTCATTTACACAAGTAAATATTTAAACCTCAAAAGCTTATGATTAAGGCCCTTCGTTTTGGGGTTTTATTTTACTTAATTTTTCCCAGGAATTTCTGTGTTTGTTACTACAACTACCAAAAGCAGATGAAAATCATTGCAAAAAAATTATTAATTTTTTTGGGGTAATAGCAGGATTTATTTCAGAGGATGGAAGGACAGGGGGGAAAGCATATAGTAAATTAATGCTTTGATGAACGGAATTCAATGTGGTTTGCTGCAGAACTAAAACAGCACTCAAAACACAATGCCACTTCTGAGTTTACAATATATCTCTAAGCTCCAAATAACATATTTCATTTGAATAAACAGTTTACTGTTGTAGACTTAGAACTATTAGCCTATAACTATTTACATTTAATAATTGGGCCACACCATTTGCAGCGCATACACTCAACTTCACCCTTTTCTGCTGTTTTGGGGTTTTTTAAACTTTTGAATACTTCCTTGTGTTCTGAAACATATTTTAGTTTTCTTCCAATTTTAGTGTGTAAAATCTTTCCATCGTTATCTGCTAACAGCTTGAAATGTGCACGTGGTGAGCATAAGATTCATCAGTATGTTCAGATGCGCAGGTGCTTCAGAGCTTGCATGCATGCCTATTTGTTTATTGTGTGTATATCTTCCACACTAATACATTGCCTTACTTCAACCGGCAGCTTTGCATATACACACAGACTAATGTATTATTGTAATACAATACATTGCATGAGATATATGTATTTTCCTAATACAACAAGTTATTTTTTATACATTTGAATGATACAAAAGTAGGTCAAAAATCAGAAAAAAAACTGATACTTTTGAAAACCCATGATTTTTTCAGTAAAAATTGGTTTAAACTGAAAACAAAGGGTCTTACTTATGATGTATTTAAAACAAAAGCAAAAGGGTTTATCCTTGCACCATGATTTTACTTTACATAGTTTCCATTCTTATAATAGCTATAAGCACAGTATACCAATTTCACTCAGCTTTTAATTATAGTATATCCATGAATGAACTTAAAAAAATCATTTGTAATGTGCAAAATTAAAACTATCTATACAATTGATTGTTAATTGTCTGACTGTTTGCCTTCAACACCAAATAATAATTGAAAAATATGTTCACTTTGATGCTGTTTAAGGAATTCTAAGAATTGGCCAAGATCCATGTGATAGTCATTCCTCAGTCCATAATCACCATGTGCCTGGAACTGTAAATCTTCAAAAGTATGAAAGAGATGAAGCTTCTCCTCATTTCCTTCCGTTTCCATACTCTCAACATGTTTGCAGGAAATGTGTTTCCAGTTAGGATATCTAATAACATGCCAGAACTCCTCAGCGTTTTCTTTGAGCCCCTCCACACAGATGATACCAGGTTTCCCTGTTAGGCAGAAACCAGTCAAATTTAATTGCTTCGCGCAATCAAAGATTTTCTTTTTCAGTTCCTGTCTATATATATGATGGCTATAGATCCACATTCGATGAAAAATTATTTTTACTGCCTTTTCTTTTGGAGAAGTTTCAGAAGAGACATCGCTGTTTTGGAAATAAGATGCACTGTTGTCTCGTACCCACTGCACAGCCGCACATACACACAGTTCACCTGAATCCAAAGAACTGATGTGAGAAGTGAGATGTTTATTGAGCTGCAGTTGATTCTGTCTGTTTAGTGCCTCTGATCTTGCAAATAGTTGCGGTGCTGAATGAGGGTAGCTGTGAGGCAAGGATACATGCAAGTCTACTTTTACCTTAAAATTAAGGGGGGAGGAAAAAGAGAAACATGAAATCAGATCTACAAGTACTGAAATGCATATTACAGTAACAGGAATTTCAGGAACCATATCCTGCACTCCACACAGGAATGCCTCAGCTAACACCCATTGTTTCATGTTCTCTACGTATATAAATGTCCTCACTGTATTTTCCACTGAATGCATCCAATGAAGTGAGCTGTAACTCACGAAAGCTTATGCTCAAATAAATTGGTTAGTCTCTAAGGTGCCACAAGTCCTCCTTTTCTTTTTGCGAATACAGACTAACACGGCTGTTACTCTGAAACCTATCAGCTACTGACAGTTTAGAAAGTTACTTACAGCAGTAATCCTCAGGGGTGGGGAGACTGCTGGTATGTTTCCATACGCAGCCCATAGGTCTCCTCTCCCCCACAAAGGGTTTAAAGTAGACTCACCCTCCTTTAGATATGCCTTTCTCTGCCAAGGAAATAAGATATGATCAAATAAAATTGCATATTTTGCTAAATAAAATTGCTAAAAAAAATAGCATATTTTCTTCTTGGTCCTGGATCCCTTCATCTCTTTTTGGCTGTTCTCTTTACTTTGTCCCAGCTCACTGTGTCCATGCCTGCAACATCCCCATCATGTGGTTGATCTTTCTTGCTTCATAGACTAATGTTGCAAGTCTGTAGTGGGCACGTGGTTATCCCTGAAGAGAAGCTGGAGTACGACTGCACATGTTCTTAGGTGGCTGTGCTGAGCATAGCTAGGTAGAGCAGGCAGCTGCTTCAATGTAAACTGCAATTCCAGAAAGAGCCACAGGGGCAAGTGACTTTCAAGAATCCTACTATTACTCTGTTTTTGTAACAGAGCAGGGGTCGGCAACCTTTCAGAAGTGGAGTGCCAAGTCTTCATTTATTCCCCCTAATTTAAGGTTTCGCGTGCCAGTAATACATTTTAATGATTTTAGAAGAGCTCTCTCTATAAGTCTATATTATGTAATGAAACTAGTGTTGTATGTAAAGTAAACAAGGTTATTAAAATGTTTAAGAAGCTTCATTTAAAATTAAATTAAAATGCAGATCTTATCAGTTTAGTGCAGTGGTTCTTAACCTGGAGTGCAAGTCGCCCTTTCTGGGGGTGCGAGACATGCGAGATTTTTTTAGAAGGTAAATCATTGAAAACACAAATTAAGCACAGGCACATAAGTACAACTACTTTGTTTCATCAAACCGATGTATTTATTAACATTAGACATTTTTTAACAATTACTGTAATATGCAAACAAAGTTAAGTTTTTAAGTTTTCAACGTTTTAAGCTAATTGTAGTGTAATTTTTGATAAGGGGTGAGAGAACATATTTTGAGAACTCCAGACCGTCAGCGGGCTGAGCGGGGCCAGATGTAGCGTATTAAATTGCTCCCCATAGGAATGTGCTACTTACAGCTGCCAGTCCTGATGATCTGAGCAGCATGTTAAGGGGATGGGGAACTGGGGTGGTTGGATAGGCGTGGGAGTCCCAAGGGACTCAGGGAGTCGGGGGTGTGGATAGGGGTTGGGGCAGTCAGGGGACAGGGGATTGGATGGGGGGTGGGGTCCCCGGAGGGAGCAGGCAGGGGGGCTTGGATGGGTGGAGGGTTCTGATGGGGGCAGTCAGGGGGCAGGGGATCCCCGGAGGGGGTCATCAGGGGACAAGGAGCGGGGGAAGGGGGGTTGGATGGGTCAGGGATTATGAAGGGGGCAGTCAGGGGCAGGAAGTGGGCCAGCTGTTTGGGGAGGCACAGCCTTCCCTACCCCAGTGTAGTGTATTAAATTTCTCCCTGTAGGAACGTGCTACTTACAGCGTACTACTTAGGGCTGCCAGCCTTGGTGCTCCGCAAATAGCACGGTCCTATGGGGAGAAATTTAATACACTACACCAGCGGACAGAACCCCAGACCGGCGGTGGCTGAGCGGCTCAGCCTGCTGCCGGCCTGGGGTCCCGGCCACCGGCCCTGCTCAGCCCACTGCTGGCCTGGGGTTCCGTTGACCCAGGCTGGCAGCAAGCTGAGCGGGGGCGGCGGTTGGAACCCCGGCTGGCAGCAGCGTGCCAGTAAAAATCGGCTCGCGTGCCACCGGTTGCGAACACCTGTAATAGAGGAATGGCAAGCCCCAGGTGTCTGACAACTTTCCGCACCATCAGATGCTCGCTCTCTCTCTCTGCACCCACTCACATTCTCATCCACTCACACTCTACTTGTGAGAATGAAAAAGAACTTTCTCAGTTTTACAACTTGCATATGGAGACAAACACCTGAGGGAAGAGTGGTTATGTAACATAGTGCAACAAGCATCCCGTAGTGGATGCTATTGTCACTCAATTTGACCACACAAAAAGAAAATGAAAGGTGACTGAAACTTCTCAGTTCTTCATAAACAAAAAAAGCCATGTGTGGTGAAGGAGTGGTGACTGCTATTCAGAGTAATATAGATGAGGCAATTGTAGGCCAACCAATTACTGGAATACTTCATTCAAGGGATATTTCCATTGTGCAGAATACTACACAAGTAAACAAATGTAAATAATTCTATCTTAAGAACTTGACAGAGCAAGGGTGGACAATATTCTGAAACAAGAATATCCAAACATTGGAATATTTTTAATATATGGATGTCCTATTATAAAAATTAGCCATTATTCCCATTTGTTATCAGAGTATTTCTACCTTAATACCAAAACAGAGGAGCTCTCCTGAGGGTATGGGCTAAATGACCCAAACATTCACAACTTAAATCTGTGGGTGATTCCTGCTATCCTGCAGTTAATCACCTGCTTCTAACATAATTCATAAACTTTCTTCTAATCAGAGCGTGATATGGCATTAACTTTGCAAACACTACATAATCTGGATCTCCAATGTATATATGACTAGACATCTATGACTCACAAACTAGATATTCTTGTTATTTTTCTTTTATCATTTGAAACAACAATGAAATGTTTTGGACCTTATACTGAAAAATGATAAGCACTTCTATTTCCCATTTATATTTGTGGGAGTTGCGAGTACTCAGAACCTTTCAAAGCCCAAATATACCATCAGTTTTTAAGCAGAACTCCCACTGATTATGCTTAAGAACTGTGGCATGATATAGTCTCATCTTGGGCCCACAGTGTTTTAAAAAATCCAAGTCTGGCGACAACAAAATATATTTAATAGAACGCCCTTAACCTAGCCTATCCCTACAATTATTAGGTTCATCAGTAAAAGGGATGAGCTAGAACCTGCATACCAAAGGTCATATCATCTCCTTACGTACAAAAACGTATAAAGGGAGAAAATTTTTTAAAAACTTTACAAAGATCTCCTTGCCCTGTTTCCCTCACCACTGATGATGCAGCGGGCTTAAGCGGCCATCAGGCCATTGCCCCCCCCCCATGTATCCACCACCTTCCGCCTGCCCAAAGGGGGTGCAAGTTGCAGATTGAAAATTAGAGCTGGGAGGACTTACAGTAGAACTTCAGAGTTAGAAACACCAGAGTTATGAACTGGTGTTTGTAAAGGGGGGGGAGGGCAAATACAGTACTGTGTTAAATGTAAACTACTAAAAAAATAAAGGAAAAGCAGCATTTTTCTTCTGCATAGTAAAGTTTCAAGCTGTATTAAGTCAAGGTTCAGGTGTAAACTTTTGAAAGAACAACCATAATGTTTTGTTCAGTTATGAACATTTCAGAGTTACAAATAACCTTCATTTCCCAAGGTGTTCGAAATGCTGAGGTTCTACTGTAGGTACATGTTTGCTGCACTCCATGCCAACCAGCAGAGGGCCCAAAGGATAATTGAATCCTTTTCTCCTTCAGACAAAACTTATTATTCACTACAAAACATGAACTCTGTGCATTTTTTATGGAGACTATAAATATTTGGTAAAAACACAGCATGGAACATCTTTTTTTGATGACTGCAGTGCAAAACTAAGAAAACTGCATAGTTAAAAACAAAATGTAAATGGAAGTTCTCACCTTTGGTTCATCAATATCAACAGAAATTGAATATTCAATCCGCGGTGGCAGTCCTTCTTTTATATTTTTCAAATACATCTGCACATAAGTAAGAGCATTTTTGTCCTGAAGGCTTATTTCTCCTTTATTAGGAAACATTGAAAAGAGCATTTCCATTTCCAACAGCTGAAGTTCAAGACATTCTTTCATCGTGATAGCCATGTTACAGCTGTAAACCCAGACACCTGAAAATGGAAGAGATGTTATTAGCAATAATGTTTCTGAAACTGTAGCAATAATCTTCTATCAGTCAATATAATCTTTTTGGGTTTTGTCTTATAACAAAAAAAGAATAATTATGAAAAAAAAATGAAGTCAGCCATAAAGCTGTTTAATTTCCAAAAGGAAAAAAACCTACATTAAAATGGAGTTAAGGTTGAAAGTGCAGAGTAGTTAAAGGATAAAACATTACAGGAACGTGGTTGTGATAGCTGCTTTGGAATCATAGCATATTCAAAGCCTATTACACTGAGAGTGACAAGTGCTATAGAATATAGATATAACAATTATAAAGTCAGTATAATAGTATATGTGTATTTATGGGCTTGTTAGCAATTGTATTCCTGGCTAAATGGGTATGATAAAGAATGTTTCCTGCAGGAACTAAAGATAATGGGCATTAATTAATGCAAATATGTAATACTGAAACAATGGGGTGTCACTAGTCATCCCCTGGGGAAAAGCAAACATGCTGGTCTGACCTGGTACATAGCTTAGCAGACACAGAATTTGAAAATGTACAAAAATAACTCAGACTCAAGGTACAGCTACACTGCAATAAAAAAAAAAAATCCGCAGCACTAAGTCTTAGAGCCCAGGTCAATTGACTTGGGTTCCTAGGGATCCAGCTGCAGGGCTAAAAATGCAGTATAGATGGTCGGGCTGGAGACCAGGCTCTGAGACCCACCCCCTTTTCAGGATTTCAGAGCCTTGGCTCCAGCACAAGCCCGAACATTTACACTGCATTTTATAGCCCAGCAGCCTGAGCCTTGTGAACTGGAATCAGCTGACCCAGGCCAGCCACAGCTGTGTCCGAGGCTCTTTAATTGCAATGTACACATATCCTCAGATACCTTCCGAAAACTAACAGGCATGAGGAAGGAGCTGAACTATTTTAGACCCACCAGGGTCTCCATTGGGAAGGTGGGGAATCACCTGATAAGCCAGGCATGCATATAAGCTGTTTATTGTTCTTTGATATGCTTTTGTTCTGAATAAATAGTACTTTGCTCTATGAAGGTTGCTCTGTTTAACCCTGTCATTCCCGCTCAGAGAACAGAACTGACGCTGCTGAACTGAATTCACACCCGCTGAGGTGATCAGAGTGAAATATAGGGGTTTGCAACTAAAGGCCTCAGTCGGGAGAATCACAGGATTCTGCCTCCAGAAAGCTGACAGCTGGAAGCCTGAGACCTAAGTGAGTGGCCTCAAGGACATTAACTTAGGCACTGGGACAATAGTAATTATCCCAAAAACAAGCATTACAAACCCAAGAAGTTCAGCATTAAGATTACAGTTAAACTCAAATATGTTATAATATGGAAATGCAGTTAATACGCCCAAAGGAACTGTAATTTTGTCCCCTAGGTACACAATGCAATAACCGTTTTATTATGATTAAGGCATATTAAAGGTTTTGGTCTCTGATTAAACTGATTTTTAAAGAAGGGTTTTTAAAGAGGGTCTTCCCTCTCATATGTTTCCTCTATGATGCCACTACCTTACTGTACCATTTTTAAACTAATTTAACTCAAATTAGTTATTGAATTTACTTGTAAATACTCAGAATATTCATTGTGTACCCAAAATAAATTCTGTTGTAAATTTGGGAAGGAGATTCTGTAACTTTTCCACACACAAACTGAATCCCTGCTTTTGTGCAAAACACAACTCGTCCTTAGCTCTGGAGCTTAACTGATGCTCCAGAACTTAACCCACTAAAAAAACCCACCCCCTTTTCTAAAAAATTAAGGGTATAATCCTGCAAAAAATTATACGTGTTTAACTTTATGCATATGCTTAATTTGTGCATTTGAGCAGTCCCGTTGAGTTCAGTGGTACTTCTTACATGCGTAAAATTAAGCACGTGTGAAAGTTTTTCTGATGTAAATCTAAAAAAAGTTCTAAACACGTGCAGCAGGAGTGTAATCTCTCTGACACTATCCATTACTCCACAATGGATTTGTAAAATCGCCTCAGACCAGACCTGCCTCAATGTTTAGGGGCACACAACAGCGTGGACTTAGCCAGTATTACCAAAATGCTTCATGAGCCTTAGCACGGTACAGAGCCGGGGGATGCTACAGCGCGGTCTGTCTCTGGGAAAGACACCGCAGAGTCAATGTAGATAAAACAAGCTGTGTGGGTGGGGCTCAGCCGCACAACTGGGGCCGGGGCGGGGTCTGGCCGCAACCCTGCCCAGGGCCGCGTGTCACGGAGAGGGCTGCGGGCCCGCCTGACGCTCGCGGGATGTGCGCTGCGGCCCTTCCCTCCGAGCCGCTCAGGCGACTCCAGATGCTCTGCCCTCTGGAGCTGAACCCAGCGCAGTGCGGCTCGAGAGCCAGGCCTCGCCATGCGCGGGCAAATGAACGTGAGCAGAGACTGCCCAGCGCGCCCGGGTCAGTCAGCCTACCTCTCCGGGCCGCGCCCGCTGGGTGCACGCGGCCGCTTCGTTACCAATGGCCGGTGGCGGGCGCCCGTGAGCCGCTCTTCTCACAGCCGCGCGCCCTTGCCCCGTCCATGCTGGCGGGGCTGACTGAGACGGTGACCGAAGCCAGCTGAGCACAGTTCTTTCCGCTCTGCTGATGCCAGGGGACGTGCCTCAGCCTTTGCTAGTGACGCGGAAGGGGCGGGTGGGGTCTCTGCCCCGTTCCCCACCGGGGGCCGGGCTCAGCAAGAAATGGTCGCGCTGCCAAACCCCTCACCCAACGCGAGGGCGGGGGCGCTGGGGGAGACTCTCCCCAGACCGCGATGGGGGCGGGGCTGTGGGTTACGTGAGCATGACGCACACTCATCCTCTGGCCGAGCGCAGCCCCGTGCGAGAGGCGGCCAGGGCTGGGCAGCCTGTGGGCCAGGGAACAGCTTAGCTCGGGGGCAGCTGGGAGCAGAGGCACGGAGCGCCATGGGGGTGGTCCTAGCCCGACTTCTTCCTGTGGCTGCAGACCCTACAGCACAGAACCTGCAGTCCCCCCTCTGAAGGGCTCCTGTTCGCTGGTCGAGTGTGTGGAGCAAGGAAAGACAATGTGTCCATTAATACATGTAACCTTGTGAACACTGCAAGCAAAACAACGGTTACAACAGGGGCAGGACCGGCACGAGGTTTTTTTGCACCCCCAAGCTCCTAGAGCGCAACTGCCCGAGACAAAAAAAAAATGGATGGCCAGAATGCCTCCCTTGGAATTGGGCCGCCCCAAGCACATGCTTGCTTTGCTGGTGCCTAGAGCCGGTCCTGAACGGGGAGCGTTGCAAAGGAAAACTTGGCATGGAAATAGCCCTTTATTTGCCCCCAGAGTTTTGCATTATGATGAGTTTAACCAAAAAATATAAACAGGGCATGCACCATAGTTGTTGAACTTAATGGGGCAAACTACATAATTGTAATCAGTGCTGCAAAGCTCTGCAAATGTATAACCCATTTTGCGGATGTGGAGGCAGCCCGCATAGAGAGTGATTTTTGCACAAGTTTCCACAAAGTCAGCTTCAAAGGGAGGCAGAGCACTGACCCACACTGCCACCCAGTCCACTGCTCTGGACCCACAACCTCTTCTAGCTGAACACCCATGGAAGGATTCACTGGGTATGGTTACATTTGGAAACGTTTTGGCTACTTTAAGAGCTCAGACTAGATCAGTGATTCTCAACCAGGTGTACACTTACCCCTGGGGTACACAGAGGTCTTCCAAGGGTACATCAACTCATCTAGATATTTGCCTAGTTTTACAAAGTCTGAAATGTGACGAAGAGGATCATCCACCTTCCTCTCAATGCTGTATATGTGCAGCAATGGGGAACAGAGGGCTTGGACCGGGGTGGGCAAACTTTTGGGCCTGAGGGCCACATTGGGGTAAGGAAATTGTATGGGGGTCCATGAATGCTCATGAAATTGGGGGTAGGAGTGCGGGAGGGGGTGCGGGCTCTCCGGTGGGGCCAGAAGTGAGGAGTTCAGGATGCGGAAGTTGGGCTGGGGATGAGAGGCTTGGGGTACAAGAGGGGACTCTGAGCTGGGATCGAGGGGTTTGGAGGGTGGGAGGGGGATCAGGGCTGTGGCAGGGGATTGGGGCACGGGCGGGGAGAGGCTCAGGGGTGCAGGCTCTGGGGGCTTACCGCGAGCAGCTCCTGGAAGCATGTCCCCCCTCCAGCTCCGAGGCGGAGCCAGGTGGCTCTTCACACTGCCTCGTCTGCAGGCATCACCCCTGCAGCTCCCCCCGGCCACGCCTCCGAGTACTAGGAGCCGGAGGCGGGTCATGCCAGTTGCTTCCTGGGAGCTGCGCGGAGTGGGGCAAACCCCCGACCCCACTCCCCGAGGGGAGCTGAGGGGCAGATTAAATGGTCTGATGGGCCAGATGTGGCCAGCAGGCCGTAGTTTGCCCACCCCTGGCTTGGATCATCTCCATCTTGTCAGCTAAGTCAGTTTCAACACTGGTCAGTTACTGCCTACCTTGGAGGACAGAAATGCAGCAGGAGACACTTGGTAGAAGGAGCTGTCAACAGTATTGCCAACCCAAAGTGTCCAAAACTCATGAGTAGAACGCTGTGTTTTTCATAAATGCAAAATGACACACCATAAAATGAAAAACATCTGTTAAAATGACATAAAATAAAAAACTCATCCAGCAGCAGTGGCTTCTATCCAAGGGGCTGGGTCCAGCTTCTCGGTCTGGGTGTTATGACCTGCCACACAGAGACACAGCGCCATTTAGGTTTGTTCCAGCTTCCCCGATGATGGGGGCGGCTAGGCCAAATTTGAGCGAGAGGCACTGTGATCCCATATACCAGATTGCAATGCCCGGATTGGGGAAGTGGGACCAGCCCTGCAGGACAGGAGACACCACTGCAGGTTGAGGTACTCTGCAACCGCCTGCCCAGGGCCGACACCACCCACCTTCAACCCCCCCCAGCCAAAGGACAGAATCTGACCCACCCATTCCCGGGGCCTCCTGACTATCTGGGGACAGAACACACACCCTCTCCTCCCACCCCGCAACCCTCCAGGACCTCTCACCCATCCGGGGGCAGGACCTGATCTCCCCCCAGGACCTCCCACTCCTCCAGATGGAGGACCCAATGCATCCAGAAGGAGGAGAGGGAACAGAACATAAGAATGGCCATACTGGGTCAGACCAAAGGTCCATCCAGCCCAGTATCCTGTCTCCCAACAGTGGCCAATGCCAGGTGCCCCAGAGGGAGTGAACCTAACAGGTAATGATCTAGTGATCCCTCTCCTGCCATCCATCTCCACCCTTTGACAAACACAGGCTAGGGACACCATTCCTTACCCATCCCGGCTAATAGCCATTAATGGACTTAACCACCATTAATTTATCCAGTTCTCTTTTAAACCCTGTTATAGCCTTAACCTTCACGACCTCCTCAGGCAAGGAGTTCCACAGGTTGACTGTGCACTGTGTGGAAAAAGAACTTCCTTTTATTTGTTTTAAACCTGCTACCCATTACTTTCATTTGGTGGCCCCTAGTTCTTATATTATGGGAACAAGTAAATAACTTTTCCTTATTCACTTTCTCCACACCACTCATGATTTTCTATACCTCCATCATATCAACCCCTTAGTTTCCTCTTTTCCAAGCTGAAAAGTCCTAGCCTCTTTAATCTCCCCTCATATGGGACCCGTTCCAAATCCCTAATCATTTTAGTTGCCCTTTTCTGAACCTTTTCTAATGTCAGTATATCTTTTTTGAGATGAGGGGACCACATCTGTATGCAGTATGGATTTATATAAGGGCAATAAGATATTCTCCATCTTATTCTCTATCCCCTTTTTAATGATTCCTAACATCCTGTTTGCTTTTTTGACTGCCTCTTCACACTGTGTGGACGTCTTCAGAGAACTATCCATGATGACTCCAAAAACTTTCTCTTGATTAGTTGTAGCTAAATTAGCCCCCATCATATTGTATGTATAGTTGGGGTTATTTTTTCCAATGTGCATTACTTTACATTTATCCACATTAAATTTCATTTGCCATTTTGTTGCCCAATCACTTAGTTTTGTGAGATCTTTTTGAAGTTCTTCACAGTCCGCTTTGGTCTTAACTATCTTGAGCAGTTTAGTATCATCTGCAAACTTTGCCACCTCACTGTTTACCCCTTTCTCCAGATAATTTATGAATAAGTTGTATAGGATTGGTCCTAGGACTGACCCTTGGGGAACACCACTAGTTACCTCTCTCCATGCTGAAAATTTATCAGAATAGAGAAAATGAAATAACAAATTTCCCAGAATATAATTTTTTTTTTAAATTTAAGAATGTCAAAGAGCTCTCTGCTCATGAGAACCTAAAAGTCCAGAAAACTAGTATAAAAATCATGAGATTTTGAAAACAATGTATTTTGAAGTTTTTACATTTGCCTATTGCATTAAGGCAGGGGTGGGCAAACTATGGCCTGCGGGAACGTCCTGCCCAGCCTCTGAGCTCCTGGCCGGGGAGGCTAGCCCCCGGCCTCTCCCCCAGGATCCCCCCTCCCCTGCAGCTATGCTGCCGCGCAGACAGCACTCTGGCCTGCCGCTCCTGTCGGGCAGCGCAGCAGCATGGCTGGCTCCAGTCTGGTACGGGGGCAGGGAGCAAGGGTGGATAAAGGGGCAGGGGGTCCCGAGGGGCAGTCAGGGGACAGGGAGCAGGGGGCGGTTGGATGGGGCAGAGGTTCTGGTGGGGCGGTTAGGGGTGGAGGTTCAGGTGATGGTGGTCAGGGGATGGGGAACAGGGGGGCAGTTAGGGACAGGGGTCCTGGGAGGGGGCATGGGAGTCCCAGGGGGGCCTGTCAGAGGGCGGGGGTGTGGATAGGGGTCATGGCAGTCAGGGGACAGGGAGTGTGGGGGGGTTGGATAGGAGGTGGGGTCCCAGGGGGCGGTTAGGGGCAGGGGTCCTGGGAGGGGGCCGTCAGGGGTCAAGGAGCAGGGGGGTTGGATGGGTCAGAGTTCTGAGGGGGGCAGGAAGTGGGAGGGGGTAGATAGGGAGCAGGAGCCAGGCTGTTCAGGGAGCCACGACCTTCCCTACCAGGTCCTCCATACTGTTGTGCAACCCCGATGTGGCCCTCGGGCCAAAAAGTTTGCCCACCCTAAGGCTTTCTTCACAGGGTCATGTTTTCTACATTTTACCCAAAACCATGAGGAGCAGAAAGTTGATTTTTCTTTTGAAAAAACTAAAGTCAAAATTCTCCCCCACCCCCTGACTCCAGGAGCTGGAGCTTTAGGAAAAAAGGCCAAATGTTGCACGGCTCACAATAAAATGGGGAAACTGGCCACTCAGCCCAAGACCTCAGCCCCAACCCGTGCTCCATCCCACCCTGCTGCCCTTCTCCAGAGAGCAAGGCCATCCACCGCCCGCTTCAGTCTGGGACTCGCCCACACTCTGAAACCCCGCCCCTCACTGGGCCCCTACGGCCACCAGGTGCCGCCGAACACCGTCCCACAGCCCCGCCCCCGCGACACGAGCACCTTCCCGCTTAGCCCCGCCCCATCCTGGCTCACCTCCTGGCGGAGCTCCGCCCCCCGCGACGAGAGAAGGTCCCCAGGCGGGGATAGCGCTGGGCGGACGGAACGCTCGGGCAAGCAACGCTCAAGCGCCCGCAGGCTGCCGCGCTCTGATTGGCTACGCGCGGCGTGAGGGGGTGTGGCTGCGCATGAATCCGGGAACGGGGGGGTTGAGCCGTCCGGCCGCGGAAAGCCACGTCGGCAGCGGCTGGGGCTCGCGGCAGGTAGGCGGCTCTGTGCTGCCGGCGCTCGGCGCTCTCGCTGCAGCCTGGGGGCCCGGGGACGCCGTTTGCTGGGCTGGGCGGCGGGGTCTGCGTCCGAGGCGCGCCTGGGTGAGGGCAGAGGGGCTGGGCAGGATCCCGTGGCAGGGGTGGGACCTGGCCCTGTGGGCAGGGCTGGTGCGAGCTGGGCGCGTCTCCCGGGGGGGCGCGGCGGCGGCTCGCTGGCCCCTCTGTGCGCCCCTCGCTCGCTGGGAACTGTCCCGAAACCTTTTACCTCCCCGCTTGGTGTCAGCCCACAGGGGTGAGTCGGGAGGAACAAGGCCGCTCCTTGTTTAAAGTTCCCAAACAGGGGACCGTGCCGGGCACGGAGGGGCGGACTTTCTTCTGTCCAGGGAGCGCTCCGCCCCCACTCCCTCCCTCCCCCTTTTCCCCAAGGATCGCGCCCCTCCTTCCCTCCCTCCAGCCTGCCCTGCCCTCACTCTGTCTCTTCCCGCCCCTCCGCACCTGCTGCAGAACCTGCTGAGCGCCCATGGAGTCGGTGCCTGGGGGAGGGCAGGAAGGTGGCAATACCCTGTCATGCCACCCTTACCTCTGTGCCGCTGCTGGCTGCAGCGCTGCCTTCAGAGCTGGGCCCCCGGCCAGCAGCCGCCATTCCCTGGCCGGCCCACTCCGAAGGCAAGGGAAAAGGATGAGCAAGGGAAAATGAAGGATGTTTGTTCCTATTTCAAAAATTTGCTTGAATGGAGAACCAAAAAAGAGGTCATATCTAGGAAAACCTGGACATATGGTAATCCTATATTGAGCAGTGCTCTCCTGTCTCTCATGTGCCAACTATGGTAGCCTGCATCACCCAGTAGTTTACATTTTCCAATGAACACTTTCTTGCTGTCTCCCATAAATGTGTGCAAGGCCACCTCCCTGATTTCCAATCCCTTCTTAAAATTCTCATCTGACAAAAAGTCAACAATGGAGGCAACTTCTGCACTGTTATCCCTATCATGCTGACCAGTACTGTTCCATTGTTACTTTGTATTCTGCTTGTCTGTTAGTTGAACCCATATGTTGTTTCTTGCGTTATTCTCAGGCCATGTCTACACTACGCTTTCATCTTCAAAACTTTTGTCACTCGGGTGTGAAAAAAACACACCTGAATGACAAAAGTTTTAATAATGAAAAGCGTCGGTGTGGACAGCATTTAAGTTGCCAGGAGACGCTTTCCTGGCAATGAATCTGCTGCCCCTCTTTGGGGGTGGTTTTATTTTGTCACCGGGAGTACACTGCACACATTATAACGGCGCGGCTGCAGTGGCATATCCGTGCCGTTGTACGGTGTGCAGTGTAGACATAGCCTTAGTTGGTAAGGTCTTTGGAGCAGGGATGCTTTTGGTTTTGTCTTTGTACAACACCTAATGCAGTGGAGCCCTGATCTATGGTTGGAGCCGTTAAGAGTTGCCACAATACAAATAATAATTTTGCTTGGATATTAAAAGAAGAAGAAAAAGAAGTAATAGACTTTACATGGTTGGAGTATGTTGGGGAAGGAAATCTGGCTCACCGCTGAACTGAGAGTTTGACCTGGTGTTGCAGCCAAAATACCCTCTGCCTGCTGTTGTCCGGAATAAGAAACACTGTCTTTCTCTGCCACTTGCACTAGGGCCACTGGATCAG